CCCCGGCCCAGCCCTGCCAGCGGGGGCAGCGCCCGCCTGGCGCGGCGCGCTGCCCCGGAGTGACCAGCTGGCAGGAGTGAAACAGCGGGACTTTTCCGGGGGCGGGTAGTTGCCCATATAAGACCAAGCCCCTGATAGCGGGATGTGCGGTCACCCCACCGCCAAGGGTGCGGCAATGCCAGGCTGCTGCTGGCTCTCTGCGGTAACCCTATAAGGAGGCCTGGGATGGGGCTTTCTGCCTCGTAACCACAGCCCCATCAGGAATAGGGGGAGCACCTGGGCCTTATTTTAAGGGACTGTCCTTCATTTCATTGCTTGGTCACCCTCGGGTTGCCAACCGTCCAGGATTGGCATGGCGTCTCCAAGAATTAAAATTTAATCTTTCATTAAAGATGGTCATGTATTGAAATCTCCAGGAATACATCCAACCAAAATTAGCCAACCTCGTGATCCACCTGCCCCTTATTTTAAGGGACGTCCCTTGACCATATAAAACCTAAAATTGAAGCTGCTGATAATTACGTTGTGTACTTGAGGGCTAGGGTGACCAGATGTCCCAATTTTATAGGGACAGTCCCGATATTTGGGGCTTTTTTTTATATGGGCTCCTATTACCCCCCACCCCCATCCCGATTTTTCACACTTGCTGTCTGGTCAGCCTATTGAGGGCAGTAGAAATGTACGCTTGAGAGACAAATACATGATATTCTAATGGAAATGGTGTTTCCTTAAAATGTCACTTAAAATAAAGCATTCTCTCATTTTTTCATGTGGTTTTCCCTTATTTCCAGCCAACAAAGGCACTTGCCCTAATCAAGAATGTCCAGTCTAGTCTTCCCTGGCTCTGCTGAGTCATAAGGGTTCAAAGGGAAATCATTCTAAGTTAGTGTCAGTTGGGCTACGGCAAACTTTTCAACTCAAACTTCTTTTGGAGAAAAATGCAAATTTGGTGACACCAGAACATATAGTAGGGTTACCATACGTCCGGTTTTTCCCGGACATGTCCGGCTTTTCGGCACTCAAACTCCCGTCCGGTGGGAATTGCCAAAAAGCCGAACACGTCCGGGAAAATGCCGGCCGGGCACTTCCCCTCCCGCGGCTGCTCTGCTCCTCCCGACTCTTTGGCTCTGTTTAAGAGCCGAGCTGCCCGAGCGCTATGGGCTTCAGGCAGCGCCCTTGCCTCCGAA